CTCCTTTTCGCAAGTGTGATGACTTGTGTCACATGGCAGGCTGCAGGAGCTGGAGCACTGCTTGCAGCTGGAGAGGCTCTTGGTATCAGTATCTGATGAGTGAGCAGATGTCCCATAGCAGACTGAAGGTTCACCTCCTGCAGCCTCTTGTGGCCAAAACTAGAATTTAGGGAACAGAGAACTACACAGAGCAATACTTCTCTGGTAAGGTCTTCTAATGTTGTGTGGGCCAGGTGCTTCCTGAGCAGCATGGGGTAACTTGGTGGATGGAGTCCTGCCCTGTGTTGGTCAGTTCAACTGTGGAATCAGTTTGGGCTGTTGGCCACCACGGGGTCTGTGTTTCTGGGGCTTGTCAGTAACGCTCCCTGATTCTCTTTTCTTTGGGGTGAGGGATCCCAGGCAGCATGATTTCTTCTTTTGCTTAGGCCCTTCTGGTTCCCCTCCACATTCCTGGGTGTTTGCCAAAGTGAGAGTGGAGAAAGCAGCGGCGTTTAACCTGCACCTATTTTATAGGCCCTATTCCTCTCTCTGCTTCAGTCAGCTTCCATATTTCCACCATGCTGTGTTTTGCACTGTGCTGCTGGGCAGGTGGAGACCTGGCTTCAGCTTTACCTGGGTAAGCACAGGTATGTCCAAAAGCCCAGAGCGGCTGCAGGCTGCCTGGTACGTGGATGCCTGCAGTCTGATCAGAAAAGCTCAGTGCTCTCATTATGTAAATCCCTTGGCTTTGGCTAGCAGAGGACTATCAGGGCATGGAGAATGACATCATTTGGAAAAAGAGCTGCTGACAGCGATGGAGAAGCATCCCTACTCTTCCATAGGCAGGGGCTGCTCCAGCTCAGTCTGCAGGTGCTGCCCTGTAGATCTGGATAGTTCTAGGTACTAATGAAGGGCAGGATGCAGTAGGCAATCTGCATGTCTCCTCCACCCGCTCTGTATGGGTGCAAACTGATAGTGCTGCAATGGCTGTGATCTGTTCATTCAACTTTGTCACCCAGAGATCATTTCCTTGTAACATACACATTGTTTATACTGCCCTGATTTGGCTTTTACAAAGAAAGGCGGCAAATTTCTGCAGCAGAAAGAGGTCACTGCTGTGATTCTGCATGCAGCTTCACCCACGCATTGCTAGTGATCAGTGCTTAGAGCTGCAGAGAAATAGGATGCAAGATGACTGCACTGTTGTGTGAAACCTTCAGTTCAGTAATGCTGAAATGCTGTCAGGCACCTTCTGCTCTAAAGCAACACTCTCAGGATCACCATTCTGCCCCTTTATTCCTCCGTGAACACTACCAGAGCAAGTGACAGTTAAGCACAAACATCTCCCTGGCAGATAGTCAGGCAGCCTTCACTGGAGGAGATCTTTTTCCCCCTGCAAGCTGCCAAGGTGGACTCCTTAGCTCCGGCGATAGACTGAATGAGACTGCAGTTCCCCCATCAGTTTCATAATACTCAGAAAGCTTCCATTTACATCATTGTGTGCAGTGCAGGGCAGCAGCTGCCAGGAAATTTGAAACTATTTTGATTCCAGTTGACTAGAACAGCAGCAATTGAATAAGCTGGTATCGCTATAGATAAACTGATGATCTGTGCATTTTATTTCTCTGACCAATGGGTAACTGCTGGAGCTACAGTAATCTCTGTGAGTAAGGAGACTGTTCAAGCAAATATATCTGATTTCTCTTCCTAGCTAATATATATATATTTATACATATATAAATTCTGTATATAGAGAGACACTCACACCATTCTTTTGTAAAATGTACCTGTGAACAGAATGTCTGTCTATGCTTGTAACTTGTATTTTTCTTCCTAGAATTTCCTTCTATTATGCTGTAGACAAGTTCAATTGAATTGGAGTGGTTATTTATCTATGAAATATCATATCTATGCCTGATGTAAGTCATGAATTCTTTCAGTCTCTAGTCATCAGAAAGGCTGCCAGTTGCTGTTAGATTATATTCGCCCGGTCTCCGTTTTCTAGCCAGTCATCCCCATGCTATTTTAGCCTTTTCTCTCATTGTAATTTTGCTTTGTTGAAAGAAGCTGCTTTCAATGCAAAGTAGAAATTGGTGTTACCTGAGAATGTGTGTCCTTTCATTGTTTGTTTGGTGGTGGGTGTTTTTTTTCCCTGCTCATCTTCAGTGCGGTCCTTAAATTTTGTTGTTGCTTTTCTAGCCTTGTTTGTAATGCAGTCATATTGGGGGATGGGGTTAGACAGGATATGCCAGTAGCTGCGGCAAGACATGATGCTGTGGTGGTGGATGGGAATAAGGGAGGAGTTTCCCTTAAAGTGCTCAGCCTGCTCCAGACACTGGCACCTGAAGAGATGTGCTGAGCAGTGGGAAGGGTTTTGCCTCTTGCAGGTGCAGGTGATGCTGGTGTCTACATGGAGCAGAGACTGCAGCAGTGCTGTGTGTGGCTCTACCTGATGCAGTGGGGACAGGCTGTTGCTTTATATGCCGCATATGAACTTTTTCCATTCATCTCTGAGTGAGATAATGTTTCTTCAGGATGCTGTGAAAGCAAGAATCCTGTTTGTTTGTGGTCACACTGCAATTGCAGAAGTCCTGCCAGAGCTTTGCTGCTGTAGACATCACTGTAGAAAATGCCTTAATTTTATACTGTGGAATTGCTTCCCTCTTGCCCACATGAAACACTTGCAAGCTTGTGTGTTCATCAGAGAGGTGTGCTGTGCTCCTTCCCCATGTGTCTCCATGTGCCTGCATACACACCTGCCTGTTCTACGTGCCTGGCTTTTCCTGAGTGTACTGAGCTTGCTTGAGGGTAATGTTTGATTGGGAGTAGCTTATGGAAAACATTTTGGAGGAGAAGCAAACCAGAAACTTTCTTGGGACTGTTTTCTGCTGTGTGCAGCGGCCACCAGCGATAGAAGAGGCATGCAGCAATGCGTTCAGCATTCAGCGCTAGAAATAAGGCCACTTCTGTTTCCCTCAGCTCGGTTCAGAAGCTAAGATAACAATTAGCAGACACGAGTCTGGCTGCTTGGCATGAACTGTATGTGAGGCCTTGTTGGAAATTGGCCTTCAACACGCATTGGCTGTGTCTCAGCTCCATGGAGGTCTGGGGGGGGTGATGTTCCGGGCTCATTTCAACTGTGGGGAGCCTTTTGCTGGCTTGAGGTTGAGCTAGTGCTGGTGCAGGTGTGAAAGCTCTGCAACCACACAGCATTGTTCTTGTTCATGAGTCCTGGCAGAAGTGTGTCCAAATGATGACCTGGTGCTGGTGCCATAAAACAGGCAGGGAATGCATCCCCTGTGTGATTGTGCAGCTGAAATTGTGTGCAATGGGTGTTGTTTATCTGGAGCTCCCAGAAAAGGCACTACATCTGGGCAGGAGACATCGCTATCTTGTAACTCCTCCAGTGCATGCCCAACTGTGAGCTGAAAACCCTATGATGAAGCCAGACTAGCAGTGTGGTGTGGACAAAGCTCTGCACTTCACAGCCATGTGGGATCTTACTGTTTGGTCTGAGGCTGCATGAATCTTGTAGCAGAGGAGATCCTTACTTGGCCCAGACACTGTCCTCAGTGGCAGCAGAGTCATCTTGATGAAATCTGACCACTGAAGTTTTATTCTGGAGTGAATAAATCAAGAGTGCAGAGATAGATACCAGAGAACCTACAGGGAAAGAAACTGTGTCTTGGCACAGTCTGAGTCTGTCAGTTTGATCCAGTGTATGCTCACCTCATGCGCAGTATTAACCCTGTGGTTAGAGCTACTGTCTTGTTAGCTGCCAGGTATGGGCTGCTGCTTCTTGTCTTATCGATGTATCTACCACTGGCAGATACATAGCCACAGTTGTGTGATGCTGAACTCACATTAAATTATCCTCCCTCTTACCTTGAACTCAGCCTATCATTAAACAGATACATGAGTTTCTACTCAGCAGTGGCTTGTGGCCAGGTTGGAGTGGCAGCAGCCATGTGTTTGTAGATCAGCACCCAGAGATACACCTCAGGCAGGGCAAAGCATCCAAATGCAAGTGGATATCTGGTTTCAGAGATCTCCCTCGTAATGTTTTTCAGAGTAGTTTTGGATCTAGTCTGCTCGTTGTTTGGTTTAAAGCAATTTACACTTCAGGCCAGGCCTTTCTTTAAGTTTACAGTGAAACACAGCTGCAGCTGCTTTTTCTGAAAGCTTGTCTCCTCCTTGGACCGTGGTATCAGGTGGCCAGATAGGCGTCAGTGTGCCATCCATGCTGATTCATCCACGCTCTAAGAACAACTGGGTCTGTGTTACCCAAGAACAATAGGGGCCACTGGGTGCTCGGCTCCTTTGAAAATGCCATTTGTTTTCTCTCCCTCTTTGTTTACTACATTGGTTTGAGAAGCAGCATGAGGAGGGAGTGCTAGCAGGCTTTTTGTGAAGCAGTGAATTTACTTTTTCAAAGAGAAAATGGGAGCTACTTGGTATGCATGCATTTCTGCAACATGACTTCAGTTGCCTGAGTTGTTCAAGCAGGAGGGTAGTACTGGCAGAAAGTTGAATTACCATGTAATTTACATAATTGGTTTTGTAGTATTTACTATGAGGTGTGGCTCGTTACCTTCCTTATTTTTCATCTTAATAAGTGAAAATTACCTAGAAGTAATTTTTAAGTAAACCTGATGTGTATGACACATGCTGTGGATGAATGTTGAAACTCTGAATGTCTGCTTTCTTCAATTTTGCATTTGGCACGTGGCCTTAGATATTCATGGGCCACTGGGACCCTTTCCGAAGTGTAGCAGACATTTTTGGCATTCCTTCCTCAGCAGTACACACTTCCAAAGTAGGGCTGCCCAAAAACTCCTATGTAAGAGGGACCAGTTGTGGATAACAGCAGTGTGAGCACGCAGAAGTGAGTTAAACAGAATGGTATTTTCCCTGCAGGAGTGAACACAGTTGCTCTGTTATGAAAATGCTGGGAGGGAAGGTTAGGTTTTTTGCTTATGTGTATGGTAAGTAAATCCATACTCTGTTTTCTTTTTTTGCAGGTAGTGGCCATGGAAGTAATACTTTGCTGCCCCACACCATCATCAATGAATTTCCAGAGTATGGAACTATGGAGGCAAGTAGAGATGCACTGAGGACTTCATCAAAGAGCCAGCCGGAGCCTGTGACTTGCAGTCCAGAAGGACAGGACCGTTACCACATACCTGGCAGGCCTCCTCCCCAGTCTGTGGCTTCTGCAGATGAGCCTAGAGCTCAGGTTAAGGCAGCACAGCTGCACACTGCAGAAGAAGGTTTGCAACCTGTGGGTAACTTGCCAGAGATTATGAAAATTTCTCGACAGCTAGAAGCAACAAAGGTACAACAGACAGCAAACACTTCTCTTGATTCAGAGATGCACGTGGAAGAAAAGACTGTTCCTGGCTGCCAAAATGTGCAGACAGCCAGAGAACCAGTTGCAGCAGGCCAAGGAAAACCCTCAGACATGCCTCTTCCATCTGAGCAAACAGCTGAGGAAAAAATGCATTTGATCATAGGAAAAGATCTGGCTGCAATATGGACTGGTGAAAAGCAGTCCGAGTCCTTGCAAGCCACCAGTAATAAAGCTGAGGAGGTCCACACAGCAGAGAAGACAAGTTGTCATAGACCATCTGTGACAAACCTGGAAGCAGCCAGCAGAATGGAGGGGTGGGAGCAATCTGAGGAGTTTTCAGCTTATAGTCAAGGCAGAATGCAAATGGGTCCTGAGAGGAGACTCTCTAAAGAGGCAGCTGTGAGCAAACATGTTGAATTTCAAGGGGTGGAGATTTTATGGTTGCAAAAAGCAGAGGACCAGAGCAGAAAGAAGCATTCGCTGCTGGAGACCACATCTGTGGAGAGAAAAGCGTTCCCCAAAACATCGAGCCACTCTGTGCCACTGATGATTGCCCCCAGCATGGTCACCTTGCCAGACAGTGCTAAGAGTGAGGTCTGGGAAGAGCCCGGGGTGGGAGCTGCCCGTGGAGCTGCTCCTCTAGCACTGCTTGATGAAAGTGGGGAGGATGAAGATTTTGTGAAGGACAAGAAGAACCGCAGCAAGGAGGAGACTACTGTGCTAGCGAGAGACCATGGCAGGTGAGATGGTGCCTGAGTGGTATGGGGGGTGGAAGGATGAGTGTCTCTCCCTGCAAGCATGCGACTTGTGTCTGCCCATCTGGGAGCTTCTGGTTTGCCATCAGCAGCACTTTTCATTTGTCTTCTGCCTCCAGCATGGTGGAAACAGTAATGTTTAGTGTACAGTTATGGGCAGTGCCAGAATTTGAGCTGAGTCCAGTGCACATCACAATCCCAGAGTTGGAAATGAGGCTCAGATTTGGAAGAGTGGAAGTGTCTCTTGCAGTCTGGTAATGATTGTGTGATGAAGAAACTGTGGCATGTATAAGTAGCATTCAGGGTTGGTATATCATTAAATTTAGGCACTGCATAGGTCTGCCCATATGCACCCTGCTAGATGTTTTGGTTTTGAGCCAAACACATGGAAGAGTGGTGTGGGCCATTCTTTGTAAGGGTGTCCTGATTTGCTTGCTCTTCCTTACTGACTGTGTTTGTGATGGAATGACAGGTGCCCCAGTGGCTGTGAACCAGCCAGTATGCATCCCTTTGGGTCCCTGAGCACTTTGCTCTGATTAGTGCTAGAGCCAGTCTGGTTTCAGCCCTGATGGCAGATGAGTACTGTGAACACTTGAAATCTGCCCCCCAGGTCTCAGGCCCATACTGCCATGTGAGGGCATGTAAGTCTCATCATGAGGCTTGTCAAAAACTGCTGGATTGTCTCAAATGGGGGAAAGCTTGAAAAAAAAAAAACAGAGTGCACTCTGCCTACCTGATGCTGTGTGAGCTGTGGTCTCGCAGGATTCAGCCCAGGATCTTGCTTGCTTCACAGTTTTGAGAGGCTTCCTCCAAGGCCCACAGAGTGCCCACCTGGGCTTGTGGCTCCAGCCTGTGCAGCCTCCAGCATAGCCAATGGGAGTGGTACTAGCAGAGAGCTTGTGAATTTGTGAGTGGAGAAACTGACATTACCTTACATTAGAGTGTACATAGTGCTTCCCCTCCTGTCTCTTGCCCAGCAGATTGTATCCTTTCATGTCCCCCAGACTATAACAAAGCGGAGAGGGAGATAGTACTGTCAGAAGAGGAGGCAGCACAAGGATAGAAGCTAGTGTGTTGTCCACTGAATGCTCTCCTGTACAAAGCACAGACCTTTCTTTTCTCAGAGGTGAGAAATGAGGAGGTCTTCTCAGTGGTCCAACCCTAGCTGCCAAACTGAAACAAGCTGTTTATGATTCATTTCTAGGATCATTGAGGAGGGAGAAGCAGCCATGGGAGGATATGAAGATGTCCTTGGACACAGGCAATCTGACGTCTCCACTGATCTGTACAGCTCACAGTTTGAAAACATCCTAGACAATGCCTCTTTGTACTATAGCGCAGAGTCTTTGGAGACATTATACTCGGAGCCTGATAGCTACTTCAGTTTTGAGATGCCACTTACTCCAATGATCCAGCAGCGTATGAAGGAGGGCAGTCAGTTTTTGGAGCGGACTTCAGCCTCAGGACAGATGGATGTCTTTCATCTTCCCCCTGATGGGGAAGCGAAGAGCTGCTGTGAAGGAATCGCCAATGGCTTAAGGAATGTAAGCGAAACACTCTTCAGAGGAGATGTTACAGAAGTTCCTCATTTGGGAAGGTAAAAATAGTGGAGGGCTTTCTGTGTTTGTGCTTAATTTTTCTTAATCCCTGTGTACTTTCAGCAGACCGTATCAGAGTGTAATTATGATTCTGCACACTGCATGCTTCGTACAGAAACTGATTTCCAGTGTAATAGAGTGAGCTGTTTGTTAGGAAGTACAGATGTGCAAATTTTTGTAGGTTTCTCTGTGATACCTGCAACAAGAAAAAGGATGAGTTGTATTGTAGCATCTCTGGGATCTGTCACAGAGAAGTTAACGACCCAATACAGATGAATGTTCTCGTTTTCACTTACTCCTGAATTTGCCAGCAGCAATTTTAGGAAAAGTAAAATCCTGTGCACGTTGATGAGTTGTCCAAACAAACTCATGATCTGAATGTTAAAGGTGAGTCTCTCTTTTCCTCTCTTGAGGTCAGCAAGAGTTTTTCCAGGTTACTTCTGTTGAGGCTTGGCTCCCACTTTGTCCTAGTTAACTGCACTAGTTGGCTGATTTTCTTAACTAGTGCACTAGAAACTGACTGAGAAAGGATTCTTGCAAAAACTTTGAAGATTAAGGCAAAGGGAGAGACAATTAAGAAAAGAATTACGAGAGAAGCAAACACTGGGCTAAGTAATCAGAAAATTCTGTACATTTATAGAAACTCGCATCATGAGAAACTTTCCTCATAAGGTGTTGTCAGAGAGAGATGGGGAGATGGACAAGGATACAGCCAAAAGCAATGGAGGGGGGAGAGAGCTTGCAAGTGACAAAGGTGCCTTGAGTCTCTTTCTTCCAGAGACAGGACATTATGTTAGTAGCCCTTAGACTATTCCCTTAGATGGGACTGTAGTCTGAGCTTTCCCGGGCATTTGTAGCAGAAGGTCTTTTATGTGTTTAGACCTTTTGTGCAAGTGTAAATTATTCATTGAGCAGAGGTGGTTTTGTCAGCTTCATAAGGAGCTTAGAGTTAGAAACTGAGGTAAGTCCTGACACTTGCAGCTCCTTCCACTGAAACCTGTGATTGCTTTAAGACTGTGGAGTAGTGGAAGACAAGCAGTGTGTGCACTCTCTTACACCATCATTGCTGCCTTAGGTGACCCTTGTGCTTAAAAGTGTCCTCAGGTAAGGTTCACGCTAGCTTGTCAAGACAGCACTTGTCATGAGGATGAAGTGAGCTCAGGCAGAGCTTGGAAACATGCTGATTGCCCACCTAGTGTGGATCAATTAGGAATTAAGTTCATTTGAGTTTAAATTTGCAGTGATAGAGAAATACTATCAGAAGCTTTTTAAAGAGCTTCTCTCCTTACTAAAAAACCAAACATTTTCACAGAAGTGTGTTTTTGGTCAAGCTGCTGTTGCCATCTGCATGACTCTGTTAGGTACAAAGCCTGAGAGCTTGCTGTCTTTTGGTGGGTATGGATAAAAGAGTGTAGCTGCAGCAGAGCAGCCAGCCACAGATGTACCCAAAATGGGTAATTCTCCAGACAATAGCCTAATTAAACACCCCCACTATGATGGTCAAAAATTGTGTTGTATTATACCAGGGCACAGATGGCTATGTACAGCATATATGCTGTAGTATTGAAGCCACGGAAGAACTGTGGTGTTGCAGCATGCTGTTGAGGAGTGGAGTTTGAGTGCTGAGGGTTGCATAGGGTTCATTTAGGTGAGGATCAAGGTGGATCATCACTGTAATGCTCAGGTGAACCAGACACAGCTGACAAGCAAACAGATATAACTACTAAGGGGACTGCATGTGTGATTGAATTGCCTGAAGCAACCTCATGATATTCAGCAAATGCAAGTGCAAGGTCAGGGTTGTGGTAGCACCCGCTATGAGTACAAGCTGCAGGATGTAAGGATAGAGCACAGCCCTGCCAGAAAGGTGGGTGATAGCTGGATGTGAGCCAGCAGTGTCCCTTCACGGAAAGCCATCTGTAACCTGGGCTACATCTAAAGAAGCGTGGCCAGCAGGGTGAGGGAGCTGATCTTGTGTGGTGCGACCTCACCTGGAGTACTGCATCCAGATGTGCAGTCCGCGGTACAGGAGAGACGCGGACCTGTTGTAGCACATCCAGAGGAGGGCCACAAAAATGACCCAAGGGATGGAGCACCTCTCCTACACGAACAGGCTGATAGAGCGTGGTTGTGCAGGGCGCAGCACCCCAAATTGCACGGGTGGGCGGGTGGCTGCCCCATCCCGGCCGTGTCCGCCTGCAGTGCGGCGCGGAGCCGCCGGGAGTCCCCGCGCCCTGCGCCCGGCTGCGAGACGAGCGAGTGGTGGGCGGGGATTCCCAACGGGGGGCGGGCTGACATCGCGCTGCTTTGCCCGCCTCTCCTTTTCGGCCGAAGCCGCGCTTCCAGCTGAGGGAAACAAAAACCGAAAGCGAAAACGCAGCAGCTCCCTGCGCGCGGATATTGCCATGACATATAGAGGGTGTAGGCGGAGTACGCGTCCCAGTACCTGCGTTAGTTAGTGAGGGAGCAGGTTGTAAGTCACTGACAGTTCTCGGTTCTGTATGGGAGGAAGGGGTGCGTACGGAAGCAGAGAGCTTTACACCTGGAAATGGCACGCGGCGTCCCTGCTGCAAAAGGGGAATCGGGGGCTCCTGGCGGCCGTGCTGCCTGGGAGCGGGGCCGGCCCGCGGTTCCCGAGCGGCTCCCGGGGAAGATCGCGGGCACTAATGGCACGCGGACCCTAGGTGGCGTGAGGCTGTAGCGCACAGCCCGCTGTGACTCCGTGTTCTGCTGAGCGAGCGGGAGGATAACATCCTTCCCAGCTCTTAGGAAATCAGTGGCTCTGGGAGGGGTCAGCCCTGGTATGTGAAGGCCAGTCACATGCCTTCAGAAATGAAAAAAGGAAAAAAAAAAAAAAAAAAGAGAGAGAGAGATTAAAGGCTTGCGGGCTGCTAGTTCCTATGGGCTCCTCTGCGTCCGGATACTTCATCCCTACCAGCTGAATGCAGTAAGTGTTTGCGCAAGCTGTGCAGGGCTGAGCGTGCTCCCCTGGCAGGGCCTGTGGTGCTGCCCTAGGCTGCAGCTGGCCAGGGGAACCCGTGCAGTCCCTTGCAGAAGCAGTCCTTTCTCAGCGGAGCTTCTTCGCCCTTTGCATCTGGCTCAGATGTGGGGAGAATGGGAACCTCAAGGAAGATGCGTGTGCAGTTTGTGTTCTTTTGGGAATGACTCCATCTCCTGTCATTATTGCGGGGTTTAATCTCTTTCTTAATTGTGTATGAGACATTTCAACGGGGAAAAGCAAATTTCTGCTCTTGAGATAGGCTTAAGTCTCCCCAGCTGGCTGAGGCTGAACTGGGAGGAGGGAGAGTGTGTGCGAGGTTCTGGACCTGGAAATAGCCTTCATCTTATTAGAACATTACAGCACAGTATGCAGTGTGGCAATAATGTTGTATTTGGGTGGCATTTGGTCTTCTTACCTATGAGCTATCCCTGCACCTGCACCTGCATGCCAGGTTAGGGCAGTGCTCCCGCATTGTGTCGGCGTTGTGCTGAGAAGGAAGAGGGGCCCAGGCTCAGTGCCTGGGATTTATTCTTTCTCAGAGGCAATAAAGAAGAGTATTTTCAAGATTCTACCCAGACACTGAGCCTGAGTTTGTGTGGCCCAAAATAGGTGTAATCATTCATACTGAATCAGAGTGGGAGAAAGGTTACATATTTCTAAAGCAATAATCTATAACTCACTTTTCCCTCAGGTGTCTTTGCTATGTATGCAGTAAGCAACTGAACTGCGCTATGTCTCAAAGCAAGCAGTTCTCTCTACGATGATCACTGTCTTTCTTTTCTGTTTTCTGACTTTACACTGAGAACTTGTTTTAATCTTTTTTTCTGCATTCTTTGTAGCAGACTTTGCATTCCCTCTTCTCTTGTATACTACTTTTAGAACAAAAAAGGAGAAGATCCAACTTCTGGCATTTATCTTCCTAAATTGTCTTGGAAGGTGTGGTCTCTTGGTAGGACATAGCCCAACATTTTTTCCAAATCCAAGAAGAGAGCAGAAAAAAATGTCTATAGCAGCTCCAAATACTGACTAAGTATTTGCCACCTGCCATCATCTTCAAAGAATTGCTGCTGCTCAGGAATTTTTGCACGTCCTTTGTTTTTTGTTGGTGTTTTTTTTTTTTTTTTTTTGGTCTTTTTTTTTGTTGTTGTTTTGTTTTCTCTCTAGCAATGCAAACACGATTTTAGTCTCATATGCATTCTTTTGTAATTCAGGGGGTGGTGGTGGGAAACAAACTCCCTAAAGCAATCTGCTGGTTTTTGGAACAGAGGCAGAAGAATGCTGATTGTGGTTCCCAGTGACTGTCAGGTTATTCTTAACAGATTGGACCTCTCAAATTCTCCTAGTACTTCCCAGCTGTTTTCTTTCTTCTGCATATGGATCATTTCCAGTGCTTTCCTTACTGGTGATCTACTTCTCCTTAGTAAACTTTGTTGATAGATAAAGTCAGTTTTGAATCTGCTCTCCCATCTTATCAGTATTCTGCATGCTATTTACACTTCTGGCTTTCAATTTACACTTTGTTTTTATTTTTCCAGTGGTAGCTTATATTTGATTTTCAGTGTAAATGTGGGATGCGGGACTTGCATACTTAATGGGTAAACTTTCTTCATTCATTTTATTAGCCTCTCCAGCTGCAGCCTGGTGGGATTTTTCCCCTTTGAATACTCACCTTATGACTTGACTGTGTGTTTTCATTTAGCATGAAATCTGCCTAAGATCCCTATGTTCAAAGAGCATAGTGGCTCTATGTTTGCTTAAAACAGAGCGAAGTGGCTCTGTTTTGGCCTTCGTGTGACATCACAGTGACATTGAGGACCTAGGAGGGCTGGGGCTGTCAGCAAGTACCACTACTCTTTATTCACTGCTTTGGACCAGTGGAGAAGGATGCAGTGAATAAGAGCTGGTCCAGATGAACACTGGATGCTTAAATGCATATTGCAGTCTAATGCTTGGTTTGGTTTCTTCCTTGTCTGGATGTGTGTTTAAGTGGTGTAGCAG